AAGGCGAAGGTCATAGAGCACAGACAGACGCACGGACGGGCGGACGGACGGATGGAGGTAAGTAGGTAGGTAGGTAGGACGCAGGGAAGGACCATCAGATCGCTTCTGACGTTCTTATTTTCGATTTATATTTAGACCTTGCACCATTTGCGCAAGGTCTCCCAAAAATTTTTCTACACCACCTTATTCTAGGCCGATCCCCGGTGGTGGGTATGTGCCATAATAGTTAATAATAATCATGAGAAACACCGCTAAAGCGAATATGGGGCACCATCGTAAGCCTCGCAGGTAGGACGTCCTTCCTCGCTTCTTATCTCCAAATCGATTACTCGAAGTGAAGTTGTGAACGCAATGGCTTCAGACGCTTGAACAGGAAACACCGCTACAATTAAAAGTTTTATCCAAATGATCCTTGGGAAACTAACACATTGCTTTTCTGCTATTCTTTATTATTTAGCGAATGTGGCCTATGAACCCATATTAGCACCGGATCCTGTGCGCGTGAATCTTTCTTTCATTTTTCTTTTTCGACGTGCGCATAGTGACACCAGATGGAGGAGGAGAAAAGATTAAGCAGAAGGACGGGGAGGCTAGCCAGTTCTTAGACCGGCTGGCTACTCTTTGCTGGGGAAAGGGGTGAGGGGAATAAAATATGATGGAAATGAAGTGTCTCAAAGAGAGAGATAGGGAGAGAAAATACAAAAGGTAGCAAAATAGGAAAGGCAAAATCAAAGACAATAAAACAATAAATTCTGCCTCTGAAACCAGTTCCCCGCAAAAAGCGTAGCGAAGCTTTGAAAGCCTTCTGGGCTGAGGAAGGGCTCTGGTTTAACCAGTCATAGAATTATACTCATGTTGTTCAAGCCCTTGAAGCAGGAATGGAGGGGGGCACAAGGACAACGTACACTGAAAGGCAGTAGAACTAAGGGCGTTTTAGACTTATTGAATATTTTCCCTTTTCCTATATTGCAATGTGACAAAGAGAATGAATTAGTGCATGAATTAGCTACTTATTCGGGACGGCAGCAACTAGAGACCATCTTGTTTAGCACCGAAGCACTTGTGGCCGATAAGTTATTTGTGGTTTTCGGAGTATGCAGAAAATTCTTAAAAAAAAAAGCTGGTATGAAAGTGATGGTTATGTCGTAAATCAGCAGTTTTGTTAGATAAGTGTGATTTTAGACGATTAGGTTACTTCGTGACAATTCAACTGACATAATAATGACAAATAATTGAATGTGTTCATTAAGAGGCCAGACGCCTTTCTTGTGACCAGCTTGCATCGGTGCGGCTCCTAACGGAGCTGATCTCAACCGCTCGATTATTTCGGCGTGGCCTCCGAGATCAGCTTTGGCAGCCTGACCAAAGAATAAATCAGTGCACAAGAACAACGATGTGCTTTCGCTACTGCCATGACAACCAAACAAGTTTTACGGATGCCTACATTTATCGGCAAGACATAAGGCTACGGGCACAGATTCAATACACGAGGCGGTGCATGCGCAGTTAAGACGTGCACGTACAAACAACGTGTGTAGATCAACAACTGCAGGCTGCAATTCAATATTTGTCTGATTAACCTCTAATCGTTTGCTTATAAGGTCGGCGAGTGAGTCTTAGATACACTGCCTTCGTTTTTTTTCTGATTGGAGCGTTTAACTGAAGTTCGCCGAACTCAAAAGTTTACTCACCCTGAAATCACCCCTTATTCTCTATATGTTTTTGTGGAAACAACCTGTTCAAGTTTTTAGGTATTCAGAAACATCACGTGTATATACATGTGAGTCTCATACACCATGCAGCTCGAAGAAACTTCATCCGTCCACATCAGCTCGGCATTTTGAGATGCGATGCCGTGCCCTTGCTCTACATTTAAACTGCCCCAAACAAGATTCTGCATACGATTAACTTTCAAACTGTCACTACAAACGGAGCTACATCGTATTTTTACTCTACCTGCTTCGTGATCAAACAAACATCGATAACATTCGATTAACAAGAAAGTATCCATATTTTCATTTTTTTGATGATCCAACTAAACATACTTGAATGAACGTAACTTTCATTATCTGTCGACAAAAGGGAGAACGTACAACGTATTCCTACACCCTGTTGGTAGCAAATTTTTTCTTTTCCAAGTCGTCGAACAACCGTCCAATTTCTATTGGTATTTCATGCACAGAATATTCGGAGCGAGGCACACATCCTAAATCTTTTTAGGGAACTATGATCACCCGTACCCACCCATATATTTCGCCTTTGGCACTCACACGGACTCATATCCACCCACAATTTTCCTTAATCGTACTGACTGAGAATCACTCACAAGAATATCAATCGCTTGGTCTCACTCAGACTCACAGCTCTATCTGAGTCTGAGTGAGTCGACTCATGCGCCAGTTATCACATTGCATCAGTGCCCTTTAACACCACTCCCTTTTGTAATCAGCACTCTACTTGGTGCTTTTGAAATTCCTACCTTCAAATATGCAATATCAACGGAAGTCATTCAAGAAGAAAGGAAGCAATATAACTTTACAAATGGTATCTTAAATAAGTTTTGCGGAATTTCTCAAGGTGGTGGAAGGGTTAAGATAGAACAGCCAACCGTTTTCAACGTGAAGCCACAAGAAAATATTTACAGATTTCTTTTAAAAAAAGCATTTTACCTGTCGAAAAATTCGTCATTTTCCAGCATAGAGTTTCCAAGATTAACTAGAGGGGACTCTGTAACCGCGATTGTTCAGCGACCATGAGAATGATGAGTAGTACACGGATTTGGCTAGTATTCGTGCTTGTGGTTGGCGAAACGCCCTCGTGGCTTCGTTTATGGCTGTGTTTCGCTTTTGTTTCGAAGGAAATAACGACCATTTTGAAGTTCGTGACCGATTTGAAACAACAAGCCTAAATAATATGGTGAAGCGCAACCACTGAACTTTTCCTGATTTTTGTTTTGTGAGAAAACAACTCCAAACCACACGAACACATACGAATCCAGAAGTGCGAAGACTAGACAAATCCGTGCAGTACCTATCATTCCAATGCTCGCTTAAGCGCCATACCTTCCAGCTCTCAAAGACACTAGCGCCAGAGTTCTCTCTAGTGTATATGTAGGAAACTCTATGTGTTCCGGGGTAGGAACCTGGGAACGATGCTTTTCGGGTTGGTTGCTCTACCAATTGAGCTAACCAGGAAACTAGCTACTGCCAGTTGCGAGGGCGAATTCATCAACGACTTGAAGCGTACGCACACAGGTAATTCAAATAAGATCTGCGGGAACCCGCAAGGTGGTGGAAGAGTTAAGAAAGGGAAAATAGACAACAACCCGTTGGTCGCAGGAAGGCATAAGAAAAACCGTACAGATTTACGAGAAAGACACACCTCTTATTAGCAAAAATTTTGTCGTGGTGCGAGAGCCCCGGACGAGGACGAATAAAAATCGGGTCCGTGCCAACCCACTCGGCATCAAGAGCTGCTCTGAAGGCATGGTTGCGGTTCCTGCAAGCCAATATATATGCCGCACATGGCATACATATTATTACTTCTGTGTTACCCGCAGTCATTGATGTTCGTCGTACCAAAATGTCTCGCAGTAACAGTATTGACATACATCAAGTAAACGAAACAAGCGCAATAGCACCAAGACCTTGGCATAGATGTCACGCGAGGGGCGTAAGCAGTAACCTTTTTCGGGGGTTGTGGTCAGTACCGCGATCTGAAGCGGCGCCGGGCAGGCAGATGTGGTTGAGTGTCATTGTGTGCTCTGTATGCCATGTTCAATAGTAATAAGAATGAGGGGCCCGTGAGTTTGATTAATATGTGGGGTTTAATGTGGGGTTTCGTTCTTAGGAGTTTGATGCATGCGATAGCGATATCCCGCCTCTAGTGAGAACTCAACGACCCAGTGCATATTGTTAAGCGTACAATGCTGCTCGATTAGTGTAAATTGCGGAATAATACAATGCAATTAATGAAGTTGAAAGTAGCTTGTGCCAGAGAAAGTTTTCGAATATGGCTATATTCGGTGGAATTGGTAGCATGCTCAAATTAAAAGCAATTATGCGCCTTAGACAGACCTGGCCCGTTGCCATGAGAGGAGGGGGTTTCGCTAGAGACCCCTCTCCTCCGAAATTCGAGTGTAGGGGGTGTTTTACCGAGAAAAAATGATAAAAATTCAGGTTTTTCAAGAATTTGCTTGGATGATACCATTACCTCGGTCTTCTTGACTAAGTCGTGTCAATTCGCATCAGCTGGTAGATGCATCGCCCTCAACTCGGTGCGTCCTTCGGTAACACTGTGACGTGCTAGGAGCCGTTTCTTCTCAAACTTATCTAGAGTAACCTATGTACGCGAAGGCTCGAGAGACATGTCTCAGTTTTCTTAAAGAATTCTTCAGTCAAGCACGATCTTATGAATAAGAAACAGAGACAGAAGAAGACAGGAGACAAGGCACAAGTGCTATCCTTCTTTGCTTCTTTGCGTTTCTGAATGTGCAAGTAGTTCTTGATGTACAGGCAACATGTTTGAATCACCGCATATCTGATGCTCTGTTTAGAGGTTTTTTAAACAAAAAAACTTTAAATTCGACGAGATGGTGCTAGCTTTTTGGGAACATGAGAACATGAAACACATTCATAAGAATGAGGGACACGGGACGGACGATAACTTTCATCTACATTTATTTGAGGATTTGACAGCTAACATACACAGAGGAAACAAGCATGCGCGGTAGGTCTAATGCGTGTTCACGAAATACAATACCGCTTAAGAAAAAATATTCAAGATTATCAGCCTCTGCTCTCCAAAGGTTCAGAGATATATCACCTAAACCTCCTCTCCTTATAGGAGATGCTTTTGATATGCTTCCTGATTTAAGCTTCTGGGCAGAGATAGGAATAGAATGACGCAAAAGCTGTTATTCTGTCAATTTGACCGATCACGACGTATCTGTGACGTCACGCGGCGTAATGACGTCATGAGTTAACATCGTACTTTAGTCCATGCCAGCCGATCATGGAAGCATTGCAAAACGACCCGAGGCGCAGAAAGTTTTTGAGACGTGGTGGGACAGGGTGAAGGCATCAACTGAGAAGAAAAAGGTGACGTGTGCCAGCTTTGAGTCTTCTGAGGTGACTGCGTAAGAGACTCTGTGAGTTTTTGATAAAAGCTTTGAAGTTGCTTCAACTCAAACATCCCAACTTTCACCATCGCCATTTTTGTTAGCTACACCTTTATGCGTTAGAAAAGAATACAATGCAGAAAGCCGTGCATGCAAAAGTAGAATGAAATTGCGAGATTCGCGCAAAGTACTTCCGCGCAGTGGCGTAAACGTAGCAAAATAAGTTAGTCGTGCCGGGCGCGTCACGGTGTGTCGGAAATCGTAGTTAACGACACGACGACGGCCTTTGGCGAGCAAAATGCCGACTTTCAAGAGCAAAATTTTTACGGCGCCTTCCTAGTTCTCGAGGAATGAGAGCGAGAGCAAAAAAAAAGAACAAATTACGTTGGAAGAGGTGGCGTTAGAGACAGTATAAAGCGGTGAGCGCGTCCTCTGAGCAGTCACAACACCTTGCAGTCTGCTTGTGTCCACAAAAGTACAAGCTAGAAAGACATAGCAAGGTATTTGAACCACACACGTATAGCCAAACAACGATGTTTGCCAAGGTATGTATATTCCATTCTCGAAAACTGGCAGATAGTTTTGAGCGGCGTACAAACCTCCCACAGCAAGATGCTCCGTGTGTAAGCGTACTCTATCAAGTTAAAATACACGCCACTTCTTTATGTATCTCTTTTGAGGAATGATGTCTACTCTATTATGTGTTTCAATTCCAACTTTGCGCACTTCCAGGCTGGTGACTTCCACACAAAACTAAAATATAGCACACATCCTGTTTACGCGTTTCGTTATTCTTTGATTGTTGCTTTGCGGTTGTTGAGACGTGTGGATACAAGTATATTAATGTATAGGTTTTTCTCTCGTGTAAAAAAAAGGAAAAAAACGCTATATGCAGAATTAACCTTGTTTTCTGCTTTTCAAAGCGGTATGAATGCTTGGAGTGTGGCCTTAAAGCAAAGCTTAGTGAGAAGTTTTCACCACGCTTTCACCACACAAGTTTTAACCAATATACAGAAAGCAAGAAAGAGCAGTCGTTTAAAGGAATCGGGACGACGTTTATTATACTTCGCATTTTAGGCGCCTCGTTTGTTCACTAGCTGTGGCATCACGCTCGTAAGTTCGTGCATGCAGTTTCAATGCTTGGCCGGCCAGTCGCATCAAGGCATAGACTCACTGTAAACGGCAATACTTCTGAGTACTTCGATAGAGGGGATGTCAAACGCAGTTTTTCTGCAAACACTTTCTTTGAAAAGCGGCCGTGACGTCTTACATGATAACTCATCCTTCTTGACGCTCTTGCAGATTCTTGCCGCCACCCTTATCCCGAATGGTCCTAGCTGAGGGACCATTTGGGCCACAGGGCCGCTTTTACGGCGGTTTTCATGGACCTGTCGTAGCGGCAGCCGCCACGCCAGGCTTCTCTTCCGTCGATCCAGTCTACGTGCGTGTGCTCTATAGCACCGGATTTCTCGCTTGCTGCAGGATCACGCGTTTTATTTTTAAAAACACGCCAGCTGTCGTGCTTGCATAGCATTACCTTAGTGTAATTTTGCAAAAAAGCAACACTAAGCCTGCCGCGAGGTGATTGCGCTCCTGTCGTAAGCTACAGAAGCTTTCTCAGCGTAATATTTTCGCTTAATTATCTGAAATGTTACTTGTTCTTAAAACTGGAAATGATTTAAGTCTTCGCGATTGAAATGTAGGCTTCTTTAAGCATAGTGCTCGCAGCATGTTCTGTTGTTTATAATGTCAACCTATTCGTCATGTCAGCATGCAGGTCGTAATTCACCGTTTAAGAATACGCGCATTATCCCACGTAATTAGCGGGACTGTCCTTATCGAGAGAGAGAATAAAATGAGGGAAAGGCAGGGAGGTTAAGCAGAAATTGGAGCATCCGGCTTGCTACCCTGCGCTAAGGGAAGGGGGAACGGGGAAGAATGATGGGAAAGTAAGCGAAAAACGAAATAGACACGCGAAAAAAAAATGTGAGCTGGGGTGCTGTAGTCTATACAATAGACCACTACCACGCATAAATTTCAATAAGGCCTTCACTGATTTTCTGTTTGAAGAAAGAAATAGTAAAGCTAATATTTACAGAAAGTCGATGCTGCAGTTGTTTCTTTCTGTTCCGCGAAAGCGGGAATTTGAATTCACACCAACAGCAAAGTTAAAGCGAAATTAAAAGCGAGTTTCAACCTTGACATTGAAGTCTATGTCGGTACCATCGAACCACCTGCGATAAATACTGTTAAACGGGGAACGAGTGCACGACATTAACTGCGCTTTTTTCGCACACCAGGACAACGAGTTTTATGGTTGAGCGGTTCTTGCATGCGGTGAGCGCATGTCCCTTTTAGTGTTCGGGCCCTTGGGCGTCCATGCTGAAATATACGAAACACAGAGGTCGTACAAGGTGGCTTCTTGGACACTAAGAGGGGGGGGGGGGGTGCCGCTTTGACGGTTGAGCAAACGTATGTTCACGCATTAGCTGACGTTATTACAAAGAAGTGAAAACTAAGTGAATGCGCATTTCTTAACTTTATGCGCAGTTAATCACGCCAGTGTCGTAAAAGCAAGCGTTTACCACGAGGGATTCAGATGTGTTCATTTTAATATTTTAAGGGGCTTACGTCCCCAAACTACGATACGATTACGAAGAACTCCATATGTTGAGGGGCTCCGGAATTGCCACCACCTGGGGCTCTTTAACACGCGCCGATATCTAAGTACACAAATCTCTAGCATAACAGTATTACAACCACTGATATCGAAAGGAGCACACCGCCATAGAACGTTGATTTGCGATGTGTGTACACTGACACAGACGTTTATCCACTCACAGCCGCCGCAGCCATACAGCTTTGGCTACGACAACGTGGACGAGTTCGGCACGCAGTCCTACCACAAGGAACGGAGCGACGCCAACAACGTGAAGACCGGAACGTACGGCTATCGGGACGCGAACGGCATCTTCCGCCGCGTGTCGTACGTGGCTGACGCTAACGGCTTCCGCGCCACCGTCGACACCAACGAGCCGGGAACCGCGCCTGGCTCCAGCGCTGACGTGGTCTTCAACGCCAGACCCGTCCGTGTTCCCGTGGCGGCGAAATCGGCGTCGGCTCCTGTGCCAGCGTACGCTGCTTCGGGCGCCTTCGGCCGGGCTCCGTGGTTCCGTTAAAGACCGAGCAACTTGAACTGAAATGAACTTGGAATAAGCGAATACCTGTTTCTTCTCTTAAAGGGACACTCACCAGGCGCTCAAAATGTAGGAAAATAAATAATAAAAAAGCGAGCGCAGTATTCTTTCCTTGTGTTTCTCATCGTTCTGGCGCACTTCTGTGACGCAGAAGGTAGTTCCCGTGACGTCTTTAGTGTGCATGCTCTCGATTGGTCAAGAAACGCGGAATATCAAGCGTGATTTGTCTCTTGCACTGCCTCGCCGTGCAGCCACCTATCCGTTCTTTGTCTCGTATAAATATTGGCAGGTCGCGGGATCGAATCCCGGCCGCGGCGGCCGCATTTTCGGCGGAGGCGAGCACGTTCGAGGCCCGTGTGCCTAGATTTAGGCACACGTTAAAGAATACCAGATGCTCGGAATTTCCGTAGTGATCCACTGCAGCGGCTCTCACAATTATGTGGTGGTCTTGGGACGTTAAACCCAAACAATATATTTATCACATGAATATCGTGCACGATCAGCCGATGACACTTCATTTTGGTGTGTTAACAACTGCGCGAGCGGCGATAACAAACCGAGAAGCGCGATATCCTGATAGGCTGTAGCACTCATACAGTCCTGACATTGTTAACGTGCATTCAACAACTAAGGGGTGAGGAGGATGCATCACGTGTGCGAATGAGGAGAGAAAACCGCCCCTTCGACTTTGAACGCGGGGTGGGGAGGGGCCCTTCAAATAGTCCGGTGCCTACTTCATCAGCGTCATTAAGCAGGCGAATATATTTTCTTTAGCAAGCGATTGCCTGTGATACTCAAGCTGAAAAATCGAGGTTCTTCATACTTCAGAGAAACTTTTCGGGATGCTTGACGAGGTGCTGCCTTTCAGCAAGATTCCTACAGAGCATTAGCTCTTAAAATTCGACTACGCAGAAGATATCGAGTGATTATATGAGGGCTCACATTTAGAAAATATAACAAGGCTATATTTTGTGTAGATAAGTTTATCAGACTGTCAGGCGAATCTTCGTTTCATTGATATTTGCGACAGTAGTAGCAATTGTAGGTGGCCCCGCCACGGTGGTCTAGTGGCTGAGGTACTCGGCTGTTGACCCGCCGGTCGCGGGTTCGAATCCCGGCTGCGGCGGCTGCATTCCCGATGGAGGCGGAAATGTTGTAGGTCCGTGTGCTCAGATTTGGGTGCACGTTAAAGAACCCCAGGTGGTCTAAATTTCCGGAGCCCTCCACTACGGCGTCTCTCATAATCATATAGTGGTTTTGGGACGTTAAACCCCACATATCAAACAATCAGCAATTGTAGCTGGGGATTAACGCAGAAATTGGCCACTGTGTTCTCGTATCTCATTCTTTTAAAAGTGCGCAGCTTGCAAGAACACATCAAACATTTCCCAAAACACCGAAGGCCTGCATAGAAGCCTGTTAAATATTTCGCTGAATTGTAAATTGGATTGTCATAAAAAGAAAACTAGACAGGCTGAAAATGATTATTTCGAGATACTATATCGAAATAATCGAAATAATATATGAGATGACTGATGAACATATTTTTCGAGCGAAAAATCCTCCTTTTGATCATCACTATGCTTATATCAAAGCTTAATACTGCAATATCTAGAAGGCAATCTAGTGCTATTGCTTATATCTGTTGGGTCATAGAAATTGCTTCAATGTGCAAAATCTAATCCATCCTTCCTTCCTTCCTTCCTTCCTTCCTTCCTTCCTTCCTTCCTTCCTTCCTTCCTTCCTTCCTTCCTTCCTTCCTTCCTTCCTTCCTTCCTTCCTTCCTTCCTTCCTTCCGTCCGTCCGTCCGTCCGTCCGTCCGTCCGTCCATCAATCAATCAATCAATCAATCAATCAATCAATCAATCAATCAATCAATCAATCAATCAATCAATCAATCAATCAATCAATCAATCAATCAATCAATCAATCAATCAGTCAGTCAATCAATCAATCTATCTATCTACCTATCAATAAATAAATCAATCAATCAATCACTCAGTCAGTCAATCAATCAATCTATCAATCTATCTATCTATCTATCTATTTATCTATCTCAATCAATCAATCAATCAATCAATCAATCAATCAATCTATCTATCTATCATGCCAGGGGATGAAAAGACAAACCTTCCAAGGCTTTTTGTTTACTGTATAAAATAAAAAACGTCCAAGTCGCCAACTAAAGTCGAATGGAATGTGAACGGCTGCAGCGATCCTTCGCAAAGTAAGGAGCATCACCAAGCGAACTGTTACCCCCCCCCCCCCTCCAATTATTATTTTTGTACTGATGTAAAATAAAGAATATTAGTGTTTACTTAGGTATTGAAATACAAGGGCGGATCGAGGCCATAACACGGGTCGAGGCCGGGCGTGCGAGACAGCCGAGACAACTCTGCGCAAGATGATGGATTTGATTGAATCTATGCGACACATTTCTTTGAGTGGTCGTTGACCGAAGATCGTGCAAGATGGATTCGCGTACAGATAAGCAGTCACATTCATTAGTCAAAAGAAAAAAATAAGTTGAATGGTATAGGGCGTGAGTGGTGTCCATGAAATATAACCTCCAGATGGGAAGAATTATAGCAACGCAGTAAAGAGTAAAAAAAAAATATTTGCATACACGTCAAGTATAAAGGCATTCAATTTTTCACTTGAACAGAAAGAACAGACCTGATGGAGGCGAGGTTTTGGAGAAAGTCTGAAAGTGGCAGAATAATAAGTAGAAGAGGAACAAAACTGCAATATAATAAAAAAGTATGTCTCAGCTTCCTTGAAAGAAACTGAAACGTATCTGTGTTATCATTCTGGGATCAGTCTTTCTCAGTTATATTTAACAATAAATGAACGTACAAGACACGTAGTAGGGCGTCACTATTACGAGGTTTATTAAAAATAATCAACAGAAAAGACTGTTGTGACCGAGTGTTTTTACGAATAATTAATTACACGGTAGCCTAGAAACGCGGTGACACGCGGAGAGATTACTTCCTGCCTGATCGCCCTTGCGATGGCCGAAAATTTCGACACCCTGCGAAGTCTCGCGTATTAATTTACGCTCCCCTTGCGCTCTTTAAAGGTCCTTAATTGGCAGAGCTTAGTGTTGAGCGCTCTAGTTCTTCGTCATGACGATAGGTATTCTGTGCCCATTTCTATTTATTTTGCAGGATTTCAGAAAGTATGCGAACGCGCGGCATCTGGAAGGGATTCCTGTATGCACCCTGCTCGCAAAGTTATTGCGCAGTTTTCGTGAATTCGGGCGTACGGAAAAAGTGCCATCATATCCACGATGTGAATGATGATGAGTGGGCGAAGCTCCGGAGGTAAACCTGGTAAACCATGAATTCTCCGTAGATTTTGCCCACTCGATTTCATTACAACGCTCCCCCTAGCGTACGTAGCCGCACTAAATCGAACGATTGCCTTCCACCAATGACACGCGCCGTATGTCACATCATTCCTATTTTATAACATCTCACATCTTCCATCATCAACTACAAGTACCACCGTCTAGTTTATAACATCTTGCATCTTTTCATCATTAGCTACAAGTACAGCCATCTATTGAACAGTGCAAGAACTAAACGAGAGATGGCTACATGGATGGATGGATGGATGGATGGATATGACTGTACCCTTTAGATCGGGCGGTGGCCAGAGCCACCAAGCCGTTATACCTAATGAACCAAAAACTAGATTTATTTTTTTTCTTAAATAGTGAGATTGAGGATTCGTACTTTGCAGCGAAGGGTTCAATTTTCACTCGGGCCTTGACTTTAGCCACCAATCAGATAACCTCCTTCTAGTTAATTCTACCCGCTTAAAGTCTATTTTGCGCTCACTGTCCCTAAACCCAAGTGCTTTGAAAAACTCTGCGCCATCAACCTGAACTACAGGGTGAAGCCCTTTACAGAACATTATCAAGTGTTCGGCAGTTTCTTCTTCCTCTCCACACGCACTGCATACCGTGTCTACCCCTTCGTATTTGGCCAAATATGTCTTTGTTCGCAACACTCCCGTCATGGCCTCAAACAGTAGAGAACTACCCCGAGTATTATCATAGATCCTTTCCATGGCTATTTCCTGCTTAAAAGTACGATAGATCTCTAGTGCGGACTTCTTAATCATGCCAATTCTCCACATATCGGTCTCGGCTTCCTTCACCTTCTTCTTAACCGATAATTCTTTTTGGTTTGGCCCCCTGCTGTTTTCCAAGTATTTACCAGTCAATTTTCTGGTTCGCTTCCGCCATTTTGTATCGACATTCTTCATGTACAAGTAGCTGAATACCTTCCTAGCCCAACGCTCCTCCCCCATTTCTCTCAATTGCTTCTCAAATTTTTACTTGCTGCTAGCTCCCCTGCCCTCAAATGATGTCCACCCCATATCCCCTTGTACTCCCTGATTTGGTGTATTCCCGTGAGCTCCTAAGGCAAGCCTACCTATTCCACGTTGCTTAATTTCTAATCTTGCTTGAACTTCTGATCTCATGCACAAGACCGCATTGCCGAACGTCAGACCCATACAGGTGTACAGGGGATGGTACCCCTGTATGGGTCTGACGTCAGACATAGAGGGGATGGTACCGCCATCTAGTGAACACTGCAAGAACTAAACAAGAGGTGGCTACATACAGGGGACGCACTGCCCACGCCTTATGGAGCTTTACCCCTAAAGTTGTACAAACAACCGTTGAAAAGGCACTGGAAGTAAGCGTCGGTTCACGGATCATAAACGCGAACCACACGTACGCGCTACAACACGTCTGTACTTGGCGTGCCCTCTCCCAGTGAAAGGAGGTGCCTTCCGGCCACACGCAGCTGCATGCCCTCGTTCTCCATAGGAACACGACATGCTTCCGGACTAATGGACAATTTTATGGAGGGATTTCAGTGCCGACATGTTGGGCATTCAACCCTGGTGTTTTGTACCTTTAATGACTAAACCGTGTTACGGAAGTACATCTGCATGAAAACAGT